GGTCATGGTGGTGTCTGGAGCTGGGCTGGGTTGGACTGGTGAGAGGAGTAGGGTGTTCTCAGGTGTAAATACCTTCCTCCCCTGCGGGGTCCTTTATATACCCTGCCCTGGTGCTGATAACCGCCAGGACACAAGGTCATTTCCTAAAGCTGTGGTTGCCCGTTGAAATGAGAACTCCAGATTGGTGGATTCAGCTGCTGAGGCAGCAATTCCAATATCACTGAAGGATGCTTTTCTTTCTTCCTGCTTTTCTCCTTGAAATGAATACTTGATGGTTTATAGCTTTAGAAAAATTACTCATTGAATAGCCAGCTTTTATAGACCATGTGACAAATGAAGAATCCAGTGTTGCACAATCACACTTTTCTCTTGTTCACTATCCATGACCAAGTGTGAGACTATAATATTCACAGGCCTGATTTCTTGCAATGAGGCAAGAATTCCTAAAAAAAAACACAAAACAAAACCAAAAAACTAAAAAGGCTCATAAAAGATGTGTAGCAGTTCTGCTATGAAAGGAATGGTGCAGTGCTTCAGTAAAACAACATGTTGCTTCTCCTCGTTTACATGGAAATAACCACCCAAACCACGAGAGTGGCATGGTTATCGGCCATTAGAGCTGGCCTATTACTTAGTGACTCATGAGACACTTACTATGTAAACAGTGCCATACTCTTTGGGGGGTGGAGAGGGAAAGGAAGGAAAAATAAGTCCTAAGTAGTTTCTGATCACACAGTAATTACACACTTTAGGAAGGCAGGACAAAGGCAGCAATTGAAGGAGAAGAACTCTTCATGGGACAATAAGGCCAAAATAAATGTGGATGTTATTGATTTTGAGTCTGATGCGGTTTTAGAAATAAAATTTAAATTGAGGTATTCCTTGCTTTTTATGTGTGACATAAGCACGCATATTGAGTTCTTCAAAGTATATTGAAAATATTTGTAAAGGAATCAATTATATTTCAGTAGTAGATGCTTAGGTTTGTTGGCTAAGGGTTTTGTTCCTTATGAAGGATGAAGTTGGGCTCCTGAAAAAGGCAAGGGGAATTAGGTGAACTGATGACTGATAACATAGCTTTGTCTTTTTTTAGCCACGGCTAAGAAAAATGGGGGCATAGAAAATAAATGTATAGTTGGAAGTTAGTTTAAGATAACATTGTCCAAGGGATGCTGATGGCTGTCAGATGGAATTTGTCTCCAAATTATATTTGGTTTGATTTAATCATTTTATACACTCTTTGGTCCACCAGAGTCCCAGTCCTTGAAGGCCTGTGACTTTGTGGACCATCGTACTCCACCACAGTTGTCGGAAAGCCAGATCTGTGAGATGATTTCTCAGAGTCACTCAGAGAAGAGAGTGGCAAAGTTTTAACAATACTACAGGGCTTTGTGGAGTATAAACACTGGCCAGACAGCGTGCTCAGAGGTTGAGCATCAACCTCTGAGCCAGAATGTCATGGTTCGATTCCCTGTCAAGGGCTCGTGCCTGGGTAGGGGGCTCCATGTCCAGTAGGGGGCATTCAGGAGGCCACCCATCAATGATTCTCATCATGGATGTTTCTATCTCTCTCTCCCTCTACCTTCCTCTCTGAAAAAAACAAAACAAACACTGTGGTTGACTCCTCGTCTTTGCCCAATTCTGAGTCACTTCAAAGTAGTGAAAATGTACTAGTAGTTATCAGAAATTCTATCCCATCTAGTGAAATAAAATAAGAGCTTGCTTGATTTATGGTTTAGCATATTGTTGTCTGGCTTAGACTATATACAGAGATCCAAATATTAGGAACAGGAATATATCTGTTATTTTATTCAATGTGATTTGTATTTTTAACTAACAAAAATGTGTAGTACTAAGAAATCTTGCATTTTAAAATTACAGACTGTCAGAAACTTGGCTGTCTGAAGTCACCTCTGTACGAGCCCACCATTTCCTGACCAGGATCTTAGTCACCTCAACACAGAGAAACAGCCTTCGTATCCCACCCAGTGGCAAAGTTTCAGGTAAGAGACCTTCAGACACGACATTCGCATTTGTCTTAGCTACATAGTATCTGAAGGAAGTATCTGAGTCCTTTTCACAGGCCAGTCCTGATGCTAATTCTTTGGCACAAAGCCCTATTCTGCTTTGAGCCGAGCAAAACACCATTTCATGTAATTTCACTTACATCCACAATTTCTCAAAATCCTACAGAAACCTTTCCTCTTCTTTTGTTCGGTGGTCCTATACTTTGTGGTTTCCTTCACTGTAGCACATTAATGGGGCTACAATTATGGGACAAGAGATGTGTCCCTGGTCTTCATCATGGGGGTTTTTGTGTCATATCATTCAAATTACAGGTTCTGCAAGAACACAATTACCAGACCGGGAGCAAGTAAATGTTAACCGTGGTGGTGATCGATGGTAGGATATTTTGTGGTGGATTGAACAAGAATGTAGTGTTGATGACTGTTTGTGATGCTGACCCGTGCCCTCATCCTAATAGTTTCCTGAGCTGTGTTTTGGTAGGAACTAGTTGTAGGCCCACTGGATGTTAGGACACTTTTAAAATGATGGAAACAGAATATGCATTCCCTGTCCTCCAAAGTGAACTTTAAAATGTCCTCCAATCGTAAGAGTTAGAAATGGGGATGGGGAAGATTAACGAGAAGGGATGGGAGGAGGATGGGGAAGACAAAGAAGGATTCAGATCCTTCCTCCACCACCAAGCAGTTGTGTGACTTAGAGCAAGTGCTTACACCCTGCCAGCCCCAGTTTCCTCATCTGTGAAATGGCAAGAATTCACAGGCCAGGTTTATCATAAAATCTACGCAAACGTGAAAGATGGAAGAGATGGCTATCATTCATTGAGAAAAGAAAATACTTTAGTTGGAAAAGACAGAAAACTCTAGATGATCAGGGAATTGGTAGGATTCATTTCTGGAATTTAAGGAAGAAATATATCCTCTAAGTGGCTTAGATATTCATCTGCCTAAAGCCAGGGAAACGAAACCAGGTCATCTTTTGGCGTCTCTTATAGCTTGGGGTTGTTTGATTCCTTTGGGTGCCTCAGGGTGAGAGAAAAGTCTGTCTGATGCATATATTTTCACCCGGCTCGTTTTCGCTCCCGATGCTAAACCCTTATTTGCGAATCCTATAATTTAGGACTCTTTCCTGTGGACTTGTAGGTCATCTTTTAAAGAGCCCTTTCATTACAAGACAGTCTCGATCTGATGATGAAGTTTTTGGCCTTCTCTATTATATTTATTAGGAAATTTATTTCTGACAGTGGATGTGGACTATCCTGGAAAAAAAAAAGCCTTCCCTGAATACTTTCCCACTCTCCATGACATGACATATAATAAATATCACATATCTGGGCTCATATGATATAGTGATGCTCATATGTGCAACAAGGAATGTAAATGAACTAGAAGCCTGGTGCACGAATTCATGCACCAGTCGGGTCCCTTGGCCTGGCTTGTGGGATCAGGCCGAAACTGGCTCTCCGACATTCCTCAAGGAGTTCTGGATTGTGAGAAGGTGCAGGCCAGGCCGAGGGACCCCACTGGTGCACAATCGAGGCCAGGGAGAGACGTGGGAAGTTGGCCAGCCAAGGAGGGACCGTGGGAGGGCCCTAGGGCATTTCACTCAGTCTCAATCAGCTGGACCTCAGCAGCAAGCTAACCTACTGGTTGGAGCGTCTGCCCCCTGGTGGTCAGTGCACGTCATTGCGAGCAGTTGAGTGGCCTTAGCATATCATTAGCATATTACTCTTGATTGGTTGAAGGGCCTACCAGTCAACTGGACACTTAGCATATTAGACTTTTATTATTTTTGACTTCACCAGCAATCTACATTGATTAGCATTAATTTTCCTGTTTTTCAGATGAAGAAACCTGAGGGTGGGAAAAGTTGAGTTATGCCGATGCTGAAATTTTTGCTTTAAGTAAATATCTACCTTTTAGAATTCTTGTCATAAAGACAATTCCCTTCTAATTTAGTTTGTTTCAACAAAGAGATTCTATTCTAAACATTGAACTCAGTGCTGGGAGCCAGAATGAATAAACTGTTTTTTTTCTTGGAGGAAGAGAAGTAGATAATCTCAATGCAATGCCTTATGGGGAGGGAGATAAGCATGGGATCACAGGATGCTATTGGCATATGTCAGGGCACCTAACCTAGCATGTTGTGTGTGTGTGTGTGTGTGTGTGTGTGTGTGTGGTAGAGGGGTTAGGAGAAGACTGAGTTGAACTTGGAAATGGATCAGAGTTAGGTAAGTGAAGAAGGTGGAGGAGAGAGGAAGGTGAAAAATGAAAGAACATGATAAAAGCAAAGACAAATGGAACAGCATGACATGTGTCAGTTACTGTGAGAAATTTAGTGTTGCTTAGTGAACTTTAGTGAGGAGTGTTAAGACAAGAACCTTGAGACAGGGACAAAGGACAGGCTTGGAGGGCCTGGTGGGCATAGATTTCCTACCCACGTGAGCAGCCCGAGGACTAGCCTGGCCGTCCTGTACCACTGCTCAAGACTCATACCAGGATTCCTAGCACCTCTC